CCCCAAAACCCCAAAACCCCATTAGCTGCATTTTAACATTCAAAAATTAGCATGTAGAAAAACTCTGTACTTTGATATATTTTATAAATTGTTTTGAGTTATAAATTTTTCTTGATATTATAATAGCCTTCGAAAATGTAGAAAAAGCAAACTAAAATACAGCTTTCACCCACATATTATAAAGCAGCACTAGCTACTTTAAAATCGTAGAAGTATCTGAAAAATTCTGGTAATAACACAAGAGATGGCTCTTCAACAATGTCCCTCGATTCAACTACGCCAGATACATTCCGATTTGAATAACAAAAATAATAAGGGATGATTAAGCCTTTTGATATCACTCTTTTGTCAAGGAAAAGTCCTACAGTTCGAAAGATTAATGTGAGGTAGAATATTTCATTAGGATTGTCAGACAATATTATTAAAATAACAGATGATAATGAATCAGCCCCTGATGAAAAGGGTTATATGAGCAATTTATAAACAGACTATGCTAAGGCTCTAGAGAAACTAGCAAAGTAGCGCACAACAGCTAGAAGTTCTTATTTCAAGCTTTCTAAACGAGGATAATAAAAGCCAATTGTCAATCAATCAACACTTTCTTCAAAAACTCTACAGACTATAAATTAGAGACTAGAAAGTGAAACAATTGAAGTCGTTAAATAAAACAATCTTTAATATAAGAACATAAAAGATGACGCGCATTCTCTGCTCATTTAAAAGCCGAAACTTTCTGTGAAATAGAAAGTCTAGGTTAAGTATTACTAGACAGTCCTAGATTTGATTAATAAAACAGTGTAGTTAATGAATGACAAGTCTAACTTTAACAAAATCCGGGTAAGTTGAAACTATCATAAACTCTCTTAGTGGAATAGCCAATGATTTATCTTATTATTTTATAGGTGAACATGAATAGTATTATTTATGTGGCTCTTGTAATATAGGATCCTGAAGTACTAAAGTTAGCTCATCAATAGTTTGGCTATATTTCTATTGTTATGAGATAGTTCACTGAGGCAAAGAAGCAGTTTAAGTATTTGGTAAGTTACTCTGATATATCATGAATAAATATTAGAAAGATGTTTGTGAGGACACTAGAGATTACACAATGAAAATATTAGCTTATAAAATGCTAGGTACATGCTATAAGCATCTTTACTAGTATAAGATATCTACAAATTGCTACAAGAAGATGCTATCTTTAGCTTGGGATATCGGCGATAGATAAGCTGAGATTTTAGCATTTGAATAATTAGGTATGATATATTACTACAAGGGTTAGCTGGACAAAGCAAAGTATTACTCAGAAAGAGCAACAAGAGGGTGGGTTGAAAATGATTAAAGTCAGGTTAAGCAATTGTAAAAACGAGTCTTGTAGAATTAGAGAGTAAGGAATGCTTATAACTACGGGGTGCCAAATATCAAGAGTGTTTTTGAGAAATTTAGTGACATCACATTTGCTATTAATTAGTGGATCCATTTAGAGCTTGACAAAATAGCGAGTCCCATCATGGAAGAGTAGATAGAGGAGATAAGTGACTCTGATGAATTTTATTCAGATGAATCAATTATACCAGTCGAGATACTAGACGATACAACTGATGTTTATAGAGAGTTTGTCTTAACTAATAAAAATAGCATGGGACTTACACCTGGTAGTTTGGTATCAAATGCATCGGTTAAAACACTTCCCTCTCCAAAAGGCATAAAAACAAATATTGAAAGTTTACCACATTTTAATGAGCAGGTAAATCTGGACATCCTAAAAAGCTGATCATATTTCAAGCATACTCATTCAAAAAAGGAGTTTAAAAACTTACCTTACGAAATCTTATAATCAATCAACCCAAGACCTGTAATATAATCATTTATCTATAATTTATTTCATTTTTTAGAAAATAAAAGCAGATTTGCCTTAGGATATATTTTATACTGATAAGGAAAGATAAAAATCTAGAAATTAGCAAAAAAAGTTAAAGTCATCTCTATCAGTTACTAATATAAACTCCTAGCCAAGCTATGATTCATTTTAATCTATAAGGTATTTTAAGAAATTATTTAATCTGACCATTTAAAATAGAGATAATTAGTAAAAATCTAAAGGTGAATCGAAGTGGAGTTAGTAAAATCAGATTATCTATACTCATATGAATCCATTTAGGGTTTCTAGTTTCGCATAAAGAAGTGCTTCAATTGTAACTATACATCAAGAGTTAGTGAATATAGTAAAATCAAAAGTTTCTGACAAGAGAGGTATCTCATGCTGAGATTTAAATTAAGAAAGGACTAGCAGATTGTTCTTACAATGAAGTTAAGATAGGCCAACTTACCAAAGATGATGTACTAAATATAATTAGAAACCCTAAAGGAGTAGAAGTTAAGGCAAAATTTATGAAGTCTCACAACACTCTAGCTTAAACTTTAAGTAAAATAGTTTTTATCAAATAAATATAGACCAAAAAGTTAAAGATATAATGAATGATTATCTACCTCAAGTCAGCAATACAAACACTTCTTCCTCGTTTACAAAAAGAAATTCTGAATTATTCAAGTTAAGACAGTAGCCATCAAAGAATTCTCATGACTATTGAATTCTGGGTAGAGGTAGTAAATGAGTTAACTTTGAATTGACCAATCTTTATTAAAAATAGAAAATAGTTAAACTTAGTGAATTTAATGTCATTAATTTCTTAATATATCATTCCTATAATTTTGAGGCATTAATTGATCTTATGGGGTTTTGGGGTTTTGGGGTTTTGGGGTTTTGGGG